GGATGACTTGTACAGTGCTCAAGTCAAGTGTGGACTGGAGTGTTAGATTTTCATTTTGATAATGAAGAAAACAAGTATATGAGAAAACAAGTGGTGTTTCTTTGATTTGTTTACATATTGTTTATGTTTCGAATGTTTGGATTTGTATAATTTAAACCTGCACTGACTACTGTAACATGTTCCAGAAAAATAAGCTATTTGTTCCTTTACTTGTGAAAAGTTGCACTTTTGCTAAGGCTTTGTGTTATTTTAGGTTTAATAAACACTGTTAAACCTTTTCAAAACTATTTCAGTTTGTGTAGAACAGGACTATCAATGCTTTCTGAACATATGCAACACCGTTTAAAAAATACCGCGATAATACCGAAAACCGTGATAATTTTGGTCACAATAACCGTGAGGTTAAATTTTCATACCGTGACAACCCTAACTGCAGCGCTGACAACTACAATTTGACAACGGCCGGCAAAAAATCTCTAGAGTTGTTGAAAGTGGTTGCAGTAACCATTTTATTTTTACATAATTTCTACATAATGCACCTTTAAGGAAGCAGAATCATGGGTGAATATAAACAGAATAAAGAGCTTAAATCAACAGTGCTCAGCATAAATGAGTACACCCGCTTTAAAATTGTATTCAGTAGCTCAATGAACAAAAGAACAATTTCCAGAATTTTCACATGGCTGGGTTTTACACTTGGTTAACTCCATAACATGAAATTAAGGTTAATAATATAACTTAAATCACAAAATTTTAAGTTTTAGTAATTACTTTTTTGTTTGAAGCAAAAATGAATACACCCGCAACAAAAACGACTACATCTAGTATTTGTATGACCAATGTGATTTTCAAGGACAGCATCAAGTCTTCTAGGCACGGAATGAACAAGTTGGTGACATACTGCAACATCTATCTTGTTCCATTCTTCAAGATTAACCTCTTTCAGAGCCTGGATGCTGGGTGGAGAGTGATGCTCAACTTGCCGCTTCAGAATTCCCCACAGGTTTTCGATCGGGTTCAGATCAGGAGACGTACTTGGCCATTCAATCACCTTCACCCTGGTCTTCTTCAAAAATGCAACAGTAGCTTTAGAGGTGCGTTTTGGATCACTGTCATGTTGGAAACGTGCACAACGACCATGTGCACGGAGCGATGGCAGCATCTCCTCCCTCAATGTAGAGCAGTACATTGTTGAGTTCATGATACCATCAATGGAATGCAGCTCCTCCATTGCAGCAGCACTCATGCAGCCCCAAATAAAGACACTGCCACCACCGTGTTTTACTGTATGCACCATGGATTTCTCTTTGAAATCCTCACCTTTACCATACAGCGGGGTTCTTCCTGCATTCAAACTTACGTGGCGGCCGTATCCAGCTAGTTTTGTGCCGCCCCAGCCTGATTTCACTCTGCCCTCAGCTATATGGATGTTATTTTAACTGCAGTTGCAGCGTTGCGCCACTACACGGGCGCTGTGCCAGCAGCGGTGCACCGAAAAGCACTAAAACCACTGCAGAAAAAGATCAAAGACTGCTTTTCTCGCTAGTTGGTACATATCTATGGTTGGTGCTGTTGACATCCTGATTTTCCCCCCCAGGCTCTTCCATATCAGAGCAGGGCTGTACAGTGCGACAAAAACACTGTGCGTGTCTGTCTATTTTTAAACGTAGCACTGGAGCAACATCTTTGAATTACTATCTTTCCCAGAAGTTTATTGAACAAAAGTAAATTACGTGTTAGAAAAAAGCTTTTTACTGGTGCACAGTGTGGTAATCTGGATGCAGTGGAGGAAAATGAAGGAACCAACAAAGGCACAAAGGCAGAACCGGTCCAGCGTTTGGGATCAAAAGTGCAGCTACACGCAGATTGGCTAATGCTAAAGCTAATGGGTAGCAGTCTCATGATCAAGTGGTGCACAGAAAAATATATGATGATCGTAAAATTAAGAAAGACTAAACTCTACACGCGGATGAATATTCCCCACCATCCTGTTTATTCTGCATCCTGCAGCGCTACGGATACGAGTCACATTACTGCTGGCGCAGGAAGTACGGCAAGCCGTTGCAGTATAAAATTCACAAACGTTTCTATCTTTGACCATAATTTAAACTGGATTTTTGCCAACCTGTACATAATAGACATGCCACCATTACATTGTTAGCAGCAGAAATTAAATGTTATTACCATTTCCAATACAAATATATATTTATGTTATTTTGACTAAGATGAGTGTTATTAATACAAACCTAAAATGTTACTGAAATGTAGGTCAAATATTTAAAAAATATTTTTAATTATAAATATCAGATGGGAAAAAGGGAACTAAACACAAATCTAATGCATATTACTGAGCCTTTTATAATAAGAGTCTCTTATTTCAGCCTGATAATTTTGTTCTTTTATTTCATTTTTTTAGTAGCAAACCAGTTTTGTTTCACTTGAAATGTTGTCAAATTGAATATTCTATTAATCAACAGAAGCTTAGATTAGAATACTTAACACAAATATATTTGGCCTTTAAAAAAGTGAGACAGTTGAATGCATAAAGTATGCATGTGCTGGCACATGGTCAGGATGGTACCACCTCTGCCTCAATTTGAGCCAGGAAATAACCTGCATACAGTTTTGAAAATATTAGTTCCAAAAACAGTGATCTTTGTCTCATCACTCCTAAGATCATGATTGGGGTTTACTCACTTTTGCAACATAGGCTTGGATGGATTTGTTAGGTAAATCACTTATTTGTGTGTAAAAATTAACAAATCGTGTTTGCAATCAATGGCTCACATTTGTGGGAGTATGTTTTAGTATGGTAGCTAATAGAAAATGTTGATTCTGAAAGGAAACTAAAGGTTTTCTGACAAATATAGTGGGGTGTACTCATTTATGCTAAGCACTGTAATTCCACCAACTGAAACAAAGTGATCTACTCATGATTAAATAAAAGCTGCTGTATCACAGTCAACTGAGTTTCACAACAACCTGCTAGATTTTTAATAAGAAATGTGTGCAAAAATCAAAATGTCATGCCAAAATAACATTATGAACTTCCTGTGTTTGGCATATTTACCTGCACACAGCTGCATGCAATCCAAAGCAAGCTGTGCACATGAGCTTAATCCAAATTACACGTACAGTTGGATACAGGAATTATGAGACATGAGTGTGAAAACTGGAGATAAGAGTGAACTGAACAGTAGTAACCGTTCTTAAAGAGCAAGTTCACTTGTTTTTTTCAACACGTTTGCTGTGGCCAGAGGAATGGGGGCAGAACACAGCAGGTTTTGAAGTCTTATTTCCTGATATTTGGGCATCTCGTGCCTGATTGGCTAACAGCAACACCACTCTACCACTGGCTCTGTTCGCTTTGCAACATTTATGTTTTATCTCCACAAATAACACAAGCCTGAATAAGTTCTGTTGTGAGGTGGAGCTGCTAATGCTAACGGTTAGTTTCTACTAGCCGAGACACGTTTTGCTGTTTCCTGGACACTAAACCGAAAATGGCCTTCCCCATTGTAAGTCAAGATGGGCGAGTCCATGAATGATGATTTATAGTGTATATGAGTTTCCTCGTCTATTTTTCATTGGCGGCTGATGCATGGAATAGGGATAGTAGACTATTTTCACATTTAGTCTGCATGTTAAACTCAGTGACCGACCATATTTAAAAAATATCAAATAAAAATGGTTCCTCAGTGAACTTGGTTTTTAATGTGAAGTTTCAAAAAGTCTATAATTTATAATCAAAAACTCCACAATTAGATGCATGTATATTGGAATGCATGAAGGAAGCATTAGAAAAAGTTGTCAGGAAACACCGCCATGAAGCTGGAAGGTGTCCAATCGAGGATGATTTGCTTTTATTCTTACAACAGGTACAAATATATGGTGTGTGTGTGTGTGTGTTCTTGTACATACTACATACTGAGGATCATTTTGACCATTTTCCTTACAATGTGAGGACATTTTTCAGTGAGGACTTTTTTTTTAGTCCTCATTTTTTTTAGAAACTTACCAGAAGCTTACTGTACCAGTTAGAGTTATTGTGTGAATTAAGTTTTAGTTAAAGTTAGGATTAGGAATAGATCAGTATTGCTTATGGTTAGGGTTAGGCATAGTGGAGTTACAAAAATGAATTGAAGTCAATGGAGGGTCCTCACTATGATAGAAAGACTGACATATGTGTGTGTGTGTGTGTGTGTGTGTGTGTGTGTGTGTGTGTGTGTGTGTGTGTGTGGGAGAGAGAGAGAGAGAGAGAGAGAGAGAGAGAGAGAGAGAGGGGGGGGGGAGAGGGGGAGAGAGAGAGAGAGAGAGAGAGAGAGAGAGAGGGGGGGGGGGGGAGAGGGGGAGAGAGAGAGAGAGAGAGAGAGAGAGAGAGAGAGAGAGAGAGAGAGAGAGAGAGAGAGAGAGATAGATATAATCTGTACTGGCAGATATATTACAGAGTTAGTGAGCTCTGACTGACATCATAAGGGTAAAGGAGAGGTAATCGTGGGGCTGTGCGAGTGTGTGTGTGTGTGTGTGTGTGTGTGTGTGTGTGTGTGTGTGTTTGTGGATGGGCACTTTGGTACACAGACTCTTGTACCGAAGCTTAAAACAAGCAAAATAATTCTCTCATTTTTTCAGTCTGTCTCTGTCTCGGATGTTCTCAGAAATGCACTCACACTCAGACACACAATGGCCAGAGGCAGACGGGATTCAGACAGGAATGGTTAAAAAAAAAAACAATGAAAAAATAGGAAACATCAGCAAGATCACATTACTCTGTAAAAAAAGGAGCAACTTTAGACATAAAATTGGCAATTTACTTGCTTTCAACCAAAGCACAATCAATTGGTGAAAATTATAAAATTTACAAAAAGTAATTTATTAAATTAAGTTATGAGGTGTGGCTCTGGGTTTCCTATAATTCTTCATAGGAGAATAAAACAAAAGAATCCTCTGGCCTTTAGAACTTTCTAGACTCCAATCAAACTCATAAAGTTTCTGAGCCCTACCTGTCATTAGCATGGGCAGGAGATGATGTCCCAGCACCCCTTGGTTTGTTGACTTTAGCGTAGAGCCTATCATCATCTGGCATGCCTCCATGTTCATTAAAAGGCTTCCCAGGTCCTTGAAAGCCCGAGGGGCCTTGTGGTGAAGGTGTGCGGGTGTGACCATGATGCACTGAACTATAGAGAGTTGACTGAGGCGCTGGCTGTGGTGGTGCACCAGTCTCTGGGTCCCGGAAGGGATGAATCTGAGCATAATTTGGGTCATCGTCGTCCTCCAAGTCTGGATATGCAGACCCACCACTGCCAGCTCGCTGGTCTCTGGACAGCTGGTTATGCAACTCAGGATGTCCCGCCTCAATCCTGACAGAGAAATGGAAAAACCAAGAGATTTTCATAAGTGACTGACATGACTCACAGGTAATATAAAAGTATTGGTGATAACCCTAAACTTCTCTTTCCCAGGGTGTCCTCACCTCTCTCTTTCTTCTTTCATCCTGCCCAGCTCCAGCTCACTCAGGATGTCTGACTTCTGTCGCTGCAGAGCTGCCTTCGCCTCCTTCCCTTCCTTCTTATCCTCTTTTTTCTTCCCAAATCTAAACAGGAACATTGCAACATAAAAATGATTAAATACCAAAAAATTGCTAAATAAATTCAGATATGAATATAAAAGAAAAGTTTCAATTGGCTTATACGAGGTGTTATTATCAATACAAGCATGAGCTTATTAAAGTTTACAGCACAGCTTTGCAGCGAGTAGGACATGGTGGATTGAACCAGTCAAACCTGCTAAATAGTTAATATCTCTAACGCGCCACTGTGACCTTATAACACAGCTTATGTTTTATTTATCTAGTGAACGTATTGATGAATTAGCCTTCTGTCTACAAATCTGCGGTGTAATATTGTTGATATTTTTGAAGTATCGCTGCACCTCCTTATGCATTATTTACTAGATGATCCTGTGCTACATTACAGCCAGACTGGCTTGTTGTTTCAAGTTTAATAAAAACAAAAGTGCACTTTGAACACCCGAGTAATAGGTTTCTTTGAAATGCCTAATGTGGACTGGGGGGTAAAGCCTATTTACCACCCAGAGAGGGGGACTCAATGGGCAATGAAGGGCTCCAATCATCTGTGTGTACTAGCAGCATGTGTGTGTTTTCGCCACACAGGGGACAAGCCTCGCTCTAATTACTGCTACCTACAGAGGCTTACCCTTTCCTTCAGTTCTCTCCTCCTTTCACTTACTCCTCCATCACCACCATCCCTCCCCTTTTTTTAAAAGCCAACCCTTGCTTTCCTCTCTCATTTCTAATTATCTTTGTACCTTTACCTCACGTTCACCCTTTCATTTAGCTCCCTCTATCCACTTGTTTCCAAGACTTCCTCTCAAGACTTCCTAACCCCAATCCTGGCTCTCAATCAATAATACTACAAAAACTGTGTGTTTATCTGCAAACATATCAGAACTAGCAATGCCACCTTCTGTTCAACCAGTTAAGATTCACACAGGAGTGCATCGGACACCTACATCTTCTCACTTACAGCAGAACATTTAAACATTTGCCCACATTCAAAACTCCAATCTGCAAGGTTTGTCTAGCAAGAGAGAAACTGAAGAATTGATGCATTTGAGCCAAACAACTAACAATCACAACTGCATTAACTACAACCTCCCTTGGTAAATTCTGTCATGGGGAATTTACTAGACACACTGTATAAACATTGTGTAATTGGACATCTTATTAGACACAAATATAAACCCGTAATTGTCCAATCAACTGACCAATACAAAGGTAGGTACATGCCATGAGTTTCTGCTGATACACACACATATTAGAATGAAGAAGAGGATGTTTTAAGGCCTGACAAGCCATACTATTATGTAAATATATAGTCTCACCCCAAGTGATAGACAGAACTCTGTCATGGGATGGAATCTATGGTTGATACTGGTGCAGTACCACAGCTAGTGCCTCAGTCACCTCTCTATAGTTCAGTACACCTTCATGCCTGCAAACCTTCACCACAAGTCCCCTCTGGTTTTCCAGGACATGGGCAGCATTTTTACAAACTGGAGTCATGACAGATGATGACCCTCTTGATAGGCTCTACATTAAACACACCGAGGGGTGCTGAGACGCCATCTCCTGCCCCTGCTAATGACAGGTAAGGCTTAGAAACTTTATCTGTGAAGATAAAGTATAGAAAGAGGATTCTTTTCTTTTGATTTTGTTGCTTGACAAGCTATCCTGTATATGTAAATACATAATATGACCACAACCCATAGACAGAGCTCAGTAGTAGAGGCGGAATATATGGTTGTTTTTCAAACCGTCTCCGTATGCAATTGGGCAGATCTAGGACCATTCAGCAACAAACAAAGTGACGTATTAATCGCTACGGAAATCAGTCAATGAGGAATTTCGCCTTAGGGGCTCGACACACGGGAGGTGAAAAACGACTGCGATCAGCGAAATTTGTCGCTGTCGCTTTTATTACCTGACACACGGGAGACGATCTGAGGCAGCGGCCAGCGGCAAAGCGGTCTACACGTTCTGTTCCATGGCGAAATCGAAACTTCCGTTGTTTTGATTGGCTGTGTCAGGTTGGAGGGAATTAAGGTTGTTTAAGCGGTTCAGAGTTAAAAAAGCGGTAGATATCATGTTTCACAAGCTGTTGCTAGAGTTATGTGAAATCTTACTTCTGATTTTACTATAAAACATAATAATAATCAACTTCTCCTCCATGTTTGCTCGGAGATGTACGGAGCATCCTGTCCACTCATTGGTCAGTGAATGAAACTTCCGTTGATTGGTCCTCGTCCGAGCGGCAGCGATGAAAAGTTGAAAATATTTCAACTTTCTGGGATCGCGTCGCTGGGTCGCCTGTGCACGACACGTGCACGAGCGCACAATTTCACACGCACGTTTTTCGCGTTTCGCTTAGTAGGAGGGAGACCCGCGATTAACGCTTTGTCGCGCATGTCTCATTGAAATTGAATGGAGGAGAGGCGATGTCGCCTCCCGTGTGTCGAGCCCATTACACTGTCAAAGAAAAAGCAAACACATCCCCTTTCAAAATAAAGGACTGAAAGGAAGTACTTCTATTTGATCACGTCTCAAAGAAAAGCCCAAATCTAAATCATCCAAAGTTGATGCCAAAGCCATTTCAAACGAGCGCTGTTCCTGAGTCTGCACCATCTCTGTAGTTTTTTTTCCATTGCAGCCCTGCTGGTACGCCCACCCAACATATCTATGAACATAGAGCTCTGTGATTGGCTGGACACAGAATCATTTGGTCCACTGATAAACCTTCTGAGACAACAATGGCGCGTGGCTAGGCCAACCTGCAGAGCACAATATTTTGCTACTGCTAGTATGTCTAGATCTCTAGGCCAGTGTAATTTTTTTTATTTTCCCATTAGGGATGGACAATATATCGGCATCAATATCGGTATCGGCAGATGTTAGTAATTTTTAACATATCAGTATCGGTTCGATAAATAAGACCGGACCGATATTAACAACCTATATTTTATCCATCTCGTCTCCATTTGTTTGCCTGTTTCAGAGGGTGAGGGGGGTGATGTGTAATTATTTAATGTGAACAGTGAATGAAATCATCTCAGAACCATAAACGTGTGTGTTGTGTGTACGTAACGTAAATTCAGCTTTAATAATTTTCCTTCTATACAAAATCTGCTGATTTTAGAAGCATTAATTTCATTATATTGATATTGACAAATATCGGTTATCAGCCATAACAGCATGGACGTAATTTTGGGGGGGGACAGGGGGGACATGTCCCCCCCACTTTTTCCAAAGTCAAGTTCTGACCCCTGCACTTTTTACCATCCAAAAACAACATTACTTTCTATTAAATTGACACTGGTTGAGCTCTAGGACCAAGCAGAAAACAACTGTTTGTGTTGAAGCCTGTTTCCCATTAGAACATACTGTAAAGACCCCCCCCCCCCCCCCCCCGTCCCCCCCACCTCTAAAGGGAAAATTACGTCCATGCATAACAGTGATCTTAATATCGGTATCGGCCCAAAAATTTTATATTGGAGCATCACTAATTCCAATGCATATTGCAGAAGTTTCTCTCAGATTTAGATCATGCAGCTATTACAACTTTTACTTGTGACTGTAAAAGTGAAATTATAAGATGTAAAAATCACTAAAAACATATTAAACTGCAAGTATGTTAATTGTGTCAAGTCATTGAACACGACTGTGCTGAACATTGGATAATCCAGTTCTTTTTTCCAAGTTTATAAAATAGCCAGTTAGTAGCACAATAAAAAAAAAATTAGAAAAATGTCTTAATAAGACAAGAAAATTAAAATTAACTATTAGGTGACGCAGGGCGGCATTTATTTTTCTACTTATCCACCATTTTACAGTGGCCTTCATTCTCTGTTCTTTTGGACATTCACATAATTCCAGATTGCTCTGAACAAATTTCCAAAAATGCACAAAAAATGTGATGTATTTAATGTCATTTCACAAGGAATTTCAAAGTAAGATTAACAGATGATTAGCAGCCAGTTATCATGAATACATTACCTCTTGTCATGTTTTCAGTGGGAACAGAATGGTGACTTGTGAATGTTAATGATGTAACACCAGAATCTGTCTCCAGAGTATATGGCTACTCATTTGCAAGTGAGAAAAATATACTTGACATACTAATCAGAAAACTTTGATCTGCATTAAAAAGTATATTCAACAGTCTGTATATTTAGAAAATCAACTTGTTGAAACTGGGAAAAGGGGAACAATTGGAGAAAATCACTAGTAAGCAGACATGCACCAGCAATCAGAGCTCATAGCATTGGCAGCTGTGGTTCCTGATATTCCGTAAAGAGACACCCTTGTGACCAACAAGGGAACATTTTTGCTAACATCTGACTCTCGTTTCAACTATTCATTCACTTCTTATGCTTATCCATCCTCCCTCCTTCTACTGCTCCTTAGACACACCCTGCATAGCTACAACTGGCAAACAGCTCCAGAGGGAACTGATGACTGGCAGGTGTGTTGCAATATGGAGAACATGTGTTCGCGCACACAGCACACAAACGGTGATGACTGGCGGGCACGGCATCAGTCAGTGACATCCCAACGACTTCCTGTCAGGGTGTTTGATTGGCAGAGTCCTTCCCCTGTTTCCAACATGTGCTTTGCCACAATTAAACAATAAAAGGTGATGACTGGTCAGAAGTTAGCAGAGGCGTTCCATACCTCTACCCATCCATGTATCCATCCATGCATCCATCCACCCATGCATCAATCTATCCATCAATGTGTTCATCCATCAATGCCTTCATCCATCCATCCATACATCCATCCATCCATACATCCATCCATTAAATCACTGGAAATCTAACAATGCAAGTAAGGCATTGCTATAATTACCACTCTTTTACCTTCATTCATAAGAAAAACTAATAGAACTATCGATGGCCGTAAGCGCAAAAACAACATAAACAAGTTTTATTCTAAGAAGAAAATCATATTTTTAAAGCATGAGTTGGCTAAGGACACCAAACATGACGTTAAAATCTATTATAGTACAAAAAAGAATT